TATATATATATATATAATTAGTGAAGATTCAACTCCAACAGCCTACATCTAATTTTTTTAATTAATTTTAATAAGTCAATTTCAAGAAGAACACAAGCCAGACAGGAACAAAAAAAATTGTAAATCAAGTCGAACATGAACACATTGTTCACGAACAATTTCAAACATGAGCCAATTTCAACCAACAACCTACATCTAATTTTTTTAATTAATTTTAACAAGTCAATTTCAAGCACGAACAAAAAAATTGTAAATCAAGTCGAACATGAACACACTGTTCACGAACAATTTCAAACATGAGCCAATTTCAAACTAGTCGAACACAAGTCAAGTCTAAAGCTCGCACAAGCTCGGCTCGTTTACAGCCTTACAAGCAATGTTGGGATACAAATTTATCGTAACGAGAGCACTAAAACTTAAGCAGCAAGAGAAAAAAATATTGCATCAGTACTATGCACGTAGAAGTAACGTGCGTAGCCAATGAAATCACGCCACGACATCTCGCGCGACAGGGAAAAAAAACGGCACAGTAACACGGGGAATATTCCCCCCTGTTATTCATGCGTTATTGTGTGTTATTCATGTGTTATTATGTGTGTTATTGATGTGTTATTGTGTTATTATAACACCAAGAATATTTTCAGGACATAATAACACATGAATAACACACAATAACACCTGAATAACACGAAAAATATTCCCGACACATGAATAACACACAATAACACATGAACGGGGGGGGGAATATTCCCCGTGTTACTGTGCCGTTTTTTTCTCTGTCGCGTTGGGTGTCGTGGCGTGATTTTATTGGCTAAGCACATCACTCTACGTGCGTAGTACTGATGTAATATTTTTTCCAACAAAGAAGCAAGTTTTCATCCAAGATAAATAACAAAAAAAAATTTAGAACACATGATGAAGTGGAGCTTAGATTAATGTGGTTTGATTTCAATGGAGTCACAAGCCATAAATATGATGTATGGGTGAACATTATAAACTATAGTGGCATTTACACACATACTCTCCAACTCCTATGTATTCACATATCTACCTTCTAAACTTTGCTTTTTTTTACATTTGTACCCCGCAAGTCTTTTATATTACATAAAAAATACCACCATCTTTCAAATTTACATCCATATCACCTTGGTGCTTTAGACCATGAAAAGGTGTATTTCACTCTTAAAAAGTGATGGTTGAGTGTGCAAATTTGAACGTTTAAGTTGAGATATGTAAATACATAAGAATTGTGTGCTTAATACGTAAATACATATGAGTTATGTGGTATATCTGTAAATCCCCCGATAAAAAGTGCAGTAGACTGACAAAATCTCTTTCTAGTTAAACGTACGGTAGACTGATTAACTGAAGAAAGATTTTACGTACATACCACTCAATTCTTATGTATTTACATATCCAAGATCTAAACTTCAATTTTTACATATATGCCGTCTGACCCATGCATGAAAAAGTGTATTTCACCATTAAAATGGAATTGGGCGGGTATGTATGTAAATGCCCCTTAGCAGAAATACCATGGCCGCTTAACCATAGAAAGTTCTTGCCTCAAACAAGGCACAGGCATGAGGTTTCAGTTCATAAGAAGATAACCCTTCAATCTTCCGAGAATTCGGATTAGAATCGCTCGAAAAGAAACCTGGATAAGGACGAGAAGTATCAACCAGACGAAACCAGATAAATCCTTCGGGTGATTCCGGCAACGTCACAGTTTCCAGAAGATCGCCGCCATTGACAACAATGAATAAGTCTCCATTATGTGAGTTCGGTAATCTGACATCCTTCTCAGCTTTCAACTCCATGGCAAGGAACTTGCAGGAAGGATCCTCCCATTTAGGTGGAGATTGATTGCTCCCATGCCAGGCAATATTTTCAGCTTTGTAAAACTCCTTCCTTTGGAAAATGTCGCTTCTTCGATCCCTCAAAGAAGCGAGAAATGCGACAAACTTCGTAATTTGTTCGCTGAATTTGGTTCCGAGACTGCTCCAATCAATTGGCCCCTTGTTGTAAGATGGAGAGCCAGAACTTGAGTGGCCACACTCATCTCCCATATTTATAACAGGAACACCTAATGAAACAAATAAGAGAAACAAGAAATTCCTTATTTGTCTGAGTCTGATTTCTAGAACAGAATTTTCGTCAGTGAGACCTTCTTCGCCGCAGTTCCAGCTCAACTCCGACGCGAGATCTGAGCCGTTGTAGCTAACCAAATCAACAAGAGTAAGACCAACATTTCTCGTGATGTAGTTGAATGAATGACCTGGCCCTCTGGAATCAGTGAACATATCTCCGCTCCCGCAGAGCCTGGTGGCAAGTTGGCTAATTAGGCCTTGACCTCTTAAGAAGTTCCGAATGTCATGGAAATATTTCGAGTTCATCTCAGCCCACCTTTGCCAGTGAGGAAAGATGGCATCTTTATATGAGATGTCGATTGGTGACCAGCAATCTGATATAATCTTGGTTTCTGAGAGTAAAGGGTCAAAGGCGATATCTTCGATGAGTGGCGGGCGAGGTAAATGGTTACCATTGGAACCTTCAAGCAAGCTTGAAGAGTTAACAAAACAAAATCCATCAATGTGATACTCAGTCACCCAATGATGGAGGCTATCTAAAATCATCTGTGCAACAATGGCGTTATTACATTTCAGTCTACTGCAATTTTCTGAAATAACATTTCCATCCACCACATAGTATGATGAATTATCAATTCCTAGAAGTGAAATTCTTTCGCTCTCGGAATCCCCTACCTCGCACGTATGAGTGAAAACAACTTCGAGGAGAACTTCAATTCCATGTGAATGAAGTATCTTAACCATTTCCTTCAAGGAATACATATTACCACACATACTCATTGGAGAGAAAAAATGGTAGGGAAAGTA